CTGGACTCTCTCCAGTAGCTCTTCATCTTTCTTGAAGTGGGGAGCCCAGAACTGGACACAGTACTCCAGATGAGGCCTCACCAGGGCAGTGTAGAGGGGAACGAGAACCTCCCTCGTCCTGCTGGCCACACTCTTCTTGATGCAATGTATCCTTCACCTGCTGTAACTGCCTTTCTCCTCTCCTTTGCAGAACACCTTCAAGAGACAGCAGGTGAGTGCTGCCTGGCATGTGGGAGGCTGCTTGTCAATAGAGTGCAGGGTGGATATGAGGAGCACTCTGTGTCCCTGGGCCCAGCCCTCATTCCTGCCAGTAAGCAACAGAACCTGCTGCTTGCCTCTGTCTCTGCACCTTGCTCTTCTTTATGCACCTTGCAGCACTGTTCATCCATGCAGATTCAACAGCAACACACAGGGAAAAAGTCATGGGCTTTTGTCATTGGGTCCCGTCCATCAAAGTGGGTGTCCACCATTGTCAAAGGGAACGTTCTCCCTATCACAGTCTTGGACTTCATGAGAGCTAACTTTGACCTCTCCAAGGAACTACTTGGAGGAATCCCATGGGTCAGGGATCTAGTATGTAAGGGGGTCAAAGAGAGTTGGTCGCTGTTTGAACATCACTTCCTCCATGCTCAGGAGCGGTATATCTCTCTGAGCAAGAAATCTAACAAATGTGGCAGGAGACCCACAAGGATAAGCAAGCATCTTCAAGCAGAACTCAGATGGAAGAGAAAGCTCTATGCAATGTGGAAAGAGGGACAGGCCACTTGGGAGGAACACAGGAACATTGTCAGAGTATGCCGGGAAGAAATGAGAAAGGCTAAGGCCCACCTGGAATTGAATCTGGCAAAGGATGTGAAAGACAACAAGAAGGGCTTCTTCAAGTACAGCAGCAGCAAACAGATGGTTAGGAAAAATGTGGGGCCACTGCTCAACAAGCTGGGTGTCCTGGTGACAGAGGATGCAGGGAAGGCAGAGTTACTGAATGCCTGCTTTGCTTCAGTCTTTACTACTAAGGCTGTCCCTCAGGAATCCCAGGCCCTAGAGGTAAGAGAGGAAGCCTGCAGAAAGGATGACCCTCCCTTGGACGAGGAGGATTGTGTGTGAGAGATCATTTAAGCAAACTGGACACCCACAAATCCATGGGCCCTGATGGAATGCACCCAAGAGTGTTGAGGGAGCTAGCAGATGTCATTGCTGAGCCACTCTCCATTATCTTTGAAAGGTTCTGGAGGACAGGAGAGGTGCCCAAGGACTGGAGAAAGTCCAATGTCACTCCAATCTTCAAAAAGGGCAAGAAGGAGGACCCAGGGAACTACAGGTCTTTCAGCCTCACCTCGATCCCTGCGAAGATGATGGAACAGCTGATTCTAGAGGTCATCACTAAGCAAGTGGAGGAAATGAAGGTTATCAGGAGCAGTCAGCATGGATTCACCAAGGGGACCTCATCCTTGACCAATCTGATAGCTTTCTATGATAGCATAAATGGCTGGATAGATGAGGGGAGAGAAGTGGAAGTTGTGTACCTCGATTTCAGCAAGACTTTTGACACTGTCTCCCATAACATCCTCATAGGCAAGCTCAGGAAGTGT